GTACATCTTCTGTCTTAAATATATGCAAGTGTATAATTTCTATAAGAAGGAAATGGTAGGTAGGATTAGTTGCCCTTCATAAAGAAGCTGGAGCAAATTCCAAGCATGCTCAACTACTGCACCTCTTTCTAAATAAAATAGGTTATTCTGTCAGGTATATATGGTGTTTATAAATTAGTCTCCCCGTAATAGTACTTTATACTTCCTGTTTAGGATAGAGGTGGGTGGGTGTGTGGGAGGTAAGCATCAGAGAATGACTAATATTTATTGGGTCCCTCTATGAGCATGATTTGTTTTATGTGGGGTTTCCCTTTTAATCCTTTGACCAATATTATGAGGTAGATAGCATTATTATCATTTTCAGGTAAGAAAACTAAGCCTCAGAGATTAGGTCATTTGTTCATAACTAGGAAAAGATAGAGCTAAAATTAAAATTCAGGATTTACTTAATTCCCACTATTTTGCGGTGAGGAAAATTGAAGCTCGCTCCATGTCATTAGTCCTAAGCCTCTACTTACCATGTGCCCATCATAATCAGAATTTCTGTTGCCTCTGGCTTTTAATTTTGTTGCTGGAGAATAAAATTTTAGTATGCATATTGAAGTGATGGGTCTTATTGTATGAAAGTTATTTATTTATCAAAACAAAGTTGTTTTGTTTTGAGCAAGTTTGCTCTTGTACACAGAAGCTTACCAGCAATTCCTTTATTTTATAGTGAGACTGTTGCCTGTTAAATTTAGAGAAAACACTTATTTAATTCTTCCCAAAGAAGATAAGTCAATGTCTTATTTTAAAATGTCTTGTTTTTTTTAATAATGTTTTTATTTATTTCTGAGAAAGAGAGAGACAGCGTGAACAGGGGAGGGTCAGAGAGAGGGAGGGAGACAGAATCCGAAACAGGCTCCAGACTCTGAGCTAGTTGTCAGCACAGAGCCCCACGCGGGGCTCAAACCCACAAACCCTGAGATCATGACCTGAGCCCAAGTCGGACGCTTAACCGACTGAGCCACCCAAGCGTCCCTAACAAGTTGTTATCTACATCCAATGTTTTAAAGTTTATATATGGTAATTTGAGTTTTTCTTTACTTTGGCTTATCAGTAGATAGAAGATTTTTATTTCTGCAGTTTTTTTTTTTTTTATGACATTCCTGTGGTAGAGGATTGTAATTGAAACTGCATGTGACCACTAAAAGGTTAGCTGGGTAATGTCAATTCAAACTTTAGAATTGACTGCTAATCTTTTTCTTTTTTAAAAAATTGAAATGAAAATGTAAATTTTCACATATGGTGACTTTAGAAGGATGTTGGATCATGAATTCGGATGACAATACTCCTGGGACTAAAGATTCATGATACCCCATACTTAAACAACTGTAGTGTAAAACTGAGGGAAGTTCTTTACAAGCATAAATGTAAGTGGTATTGGGATTATAAAGAGATTATATTAACGAGGCATCTCTAGAGAAACAGTACCAGGATGTATGCATATTTGCAGAGAAAGAGATTTATTACAAGGAATTGACCCATACAATTATAGAGGCTGAGAAGTCCCAAGATCTTCACTTAGTAAGATAGAGACCTAGGAGAGCCAAACTATTGTTTCAGTCCAAGTCTAAATGATTGAGAACAAGGGCAGTCAGTAATGCAAGATCCATTCCAAAAGGCAGCAGGCTTCAGACCCAAGAAGAGCCAATGTTTCAGTCCCAGTCCAAAGGCCAGAAAAGACCAACATTCTAGCTCATCACTTAGACAGAGTACCCCCTTACTCAGCCCTTTTGCTCGATTCAGGTCTTTAATTTATTGGATGAGGCTCATCTACATTAGGAAGAGCAATTTGCTTAATTCAACCTATTTATTCCAATGTTAATCTTACCTACAAACACCCTCACATGACACACCCAGAATATTGTTTGACCAAATGTCTGGGCATCCTATGACCCAGTCAAGTTAATCCCCCAAATTAATCATCACAGTAATATATCTTAGAAACTCATAGGCTAGAAATTATCAGAATATGAAAGATAAACATTATGAATATATAAAGAACCCTTACAAATGAATGACAGCACAAAATAACCTAATTAAAAAATGAGCAAAGGTCTTGAATAGAAATATGCCAAAGAAAATATACAAATGGCTAACAAGCATATGAAAAGATGCCAACATAACCAATCATCAGGTAAATGTAAATCAAAACCACAATGCAGTATCACTTCACAACTCTTTAGGATGACTACTTCTGTGTTTAAAAAAATCACAGAAATTAACAAGTGTTGGTGAGCATGTGGAGAAATTAGAACACTTGTGCACTGTTGGAGAGTATATAAAATGATACAGCCACTACAAAAAATAGTATTATGATTTATCAAAAATTTAAAGTAGAATTACCATATGATCCAGCAATTCCCACTTCTGGGTTTATATCCTAAAGAATTCAAAGGAGGGGCCAAAAAACAAAACTGTTTTTAACTTGAGAGCAGAATGTACCTTATCCTTTGTGTCCACCTTTTTATTCTTCTCTAAATCGACATTTACATTTTAATGCCAAATTATTTTGATAACATTATTTTCTTGGATAAGATGCTCTTAAGAACTTTAAATTAACTATTCTTCCCCCATAAGCTTCTACTCAATAGACATCATCATAATAGCTTGCCTTCAACATTGGTAATGTTGAGACCCCACCACATTTCTAACAAATCGAGTCAGGTTTTATTTCATTCAATTTAAGAGATGAATCAGCTTCAGGTATCCTCTAAATGAATTACAAGTTAATTGGCTGAGTGTGTTCAGCATTCTGTTCATTATTTCTTTCATTCTGACAGTAATGTAGGCTGGATGGCACTGGAGAACTTGATGCAATGAAAATATATAAGAACATTTATGCTGGCTGTTATGGTGGATTATTTTAATCTACCTAGAACCTTATTACCATTTATTTTGCTTTCTGTTTTATTTTAGCTACAAAACTATTGTATGATCAATATACAATGGGAACCTAATGAGCTTTTTCTGTTGTAAATAATGTGAGGCTTATTCCATTTGATTAAAAATTCTTGTATGGCATATTTTCATCATCAGGAACGTGTAACTTGGAACTTACAATAGATGCTACTCATCAAGACTTTTTAAGTAGAGGAAGAACAAATTTATAATTTATCTTTGTTGAATGATTAACATACACACAGAACAACTGTACTATATTGCCTATGAATAGACACATTAATTATACAATCTGACTTCACTCTTTTGGTCATAAACCACGAATTAATACATTGCTTTCCCTCTTGATGTTTAAAATTCTTTTTCAAAGGTACCTGGGTGGCTCAGTTCGTTAAGCCATCAACTTTGGCTCAGGTCACGATTTCATGGTTCGTGGGTTTGATCCCGCATCGGTCTCTGTGCTGACAGCTCAGAGCCTGGAGCCTGCATTGAATTCTGTGTCTCCTTCTCCCTGTGGCCCTCCCCTGCTCACATTCTGTTACTCTCTCTCTCAAAAATAAAAATATAAACATTAAAAATATTTTTAAAAATAAAATTCTTTTTCAAAGGGTTGTAGCTTTAAAACAAATATGCACTTTTTTAGTATTATGCCAGTTTTAGCTATGATAACTTTTACATTTAAGTCATGTTTTATATGTTGTATACATTATTTTCTATTGTTATTTAAATCCAATTTAGGAGAGGGTTCCATTTTAAATTTCATCAAGAAACGGAATATTGAAATCAGTTTACATCTACAAAGGATTCGAGGTGTAGCCTCTGTGAGACCAGACCACCTTTTTAGGCAGAAGGCAGCAATAGAACCTCATACCTCATTCCATGACTTGCAGCCTTTCACCTCAACTCACTAGCATAGGCTTTCTCTCTCACTCTCTTGCTCTTTCATTCTTATTTTTTCATCACAAAAACATGCATATACATACAAGAGCTTTGCAGGATATAGATTTTTAATTAAAATCTATTTTTATATATTTTTTACCACCCCTTTAGATCATTGGAGACATAGGGATGAAGCTACTAGAAAAAAATCAGATATATATTTTTAGTTCTGTGATGGACATTCTGTGCCTTGTTGAGTGAGTCCTTTGACCCTGCTTTTCCCGACTCCTTATCAGTAAAATGGAAGTCCTTGTTCTATCATGCTTCTAATTTACTTCCTTCAGTTGCCTCCAGAATTCATTGAATTAAAATAACATATAAAGTCTATAGTTTATTGGAATAAAAAATCTAAGAACAAAACCGATAAGGTTATTATGAAATTTTCTGAATTCATAAATATGATTATTAAAGGCTACCTTATCTTCTTACACATCTCTTCTTACACCTCTCTTATTTACACTTTTAATTTATTATAACATTAGTACAAGACCTACACATGGCAAATCTAGATTAACTTGTCAAAAGACACCATAGTGATGTGATCTTGACTATTATTTTTTAAATGTATGTAGTGTGAATGTGAATACGTGTATCTTAGAAAATAATATTAACAAGTGCTGTTTCTAGAATTGTGGGTGATTTAAATTCTCTCTTTATGAAAAATTATCTTTATTTTCTACAATGAAAATACAATGTATTATTTATGTGATTACAATAATTTAAAATCAATACTGCTTATTTACTGGTGAACCTGGCTGACTCAGTTGGCAGAGAATGCAACTCTTGATCTCAGGGTTGTGAGTTCAAGCCCCACAAGTGGTGTGAAGCCTACTTTAAAAACCTGTAAAAATTAAAACTAAAACCAACAAGTTTAAAAAAAATACTATTTAATCTCTAACAGTTAAATTTGTCTTTACTTACTTTATTCCAACACACTTTCGTGTTACGGAAATATCATGGAAAGACCCATTTCAAAACGGGGAACACATATTAAGAACTGTGAAATTAATTTAGTTGCTATTATGTGTTGAAAGTAGCCTAGCATAGATCGTCCAGATTATCCTCTCTATAGTATTCTTTTCTTTTATTGTTCTAATTATTTTAAATCTGTTTTACAGCTACAAGACCGCACTCAGTTCAGTGACCGAGATTTAGCCACCCTTAAGAAGTACTGGGACAATGGCATGACCAGCCTTGGTTCTGTGTGTAGAGAGAAAATTGAAGCAGTTGCAACTGAATTGAATGTTGACTGTGAAATCGTTCGGGTAAGACATTTTCAATAATTTTCATGCTGTGATTGAAAATTGTCATAAAAGAAAGCTCTATAAAAATTGCATGAGGTGCTATAAACAAGAACATCAATAAAGTGAAAAAGGCAAGCCACGGAATGGGGGAAGTATTTTCAAATTACATATCTGATAAGGAGCTTGTATTCAGAGTATGTAAAGAATTCGTAAATTCATAAGAATTCAATAAAAAGGTAAATAATGCAATTGAAAATGGGCAAAGAATTTGAATATACATTTATCCAAAAAAGATTTGCAAATGGCCAATAAACACACAAAAAATATGTTCAATATCATTTGTCATTGTGGAAATTAAAACCACAATGAGGTACCACTTAATAGCCAATATGATGGCAATAATAAAAAAGACAAATAATAACAAGTGTTGACCAGGATGTGAATAAATTGGAACCATTGTACACTTCTGGTGAAAATGTAAAACGTTTTAGCCACGTTGGAAAACAGTTCTTAAATTTTTAACAGAGTTATCATATGACCCAGCAATTTCACTCTTAGCTATGAAATGAAATGTATGTATACTCAAAAACTTACATGTGCCCATTTGTTTTGTTTCTTAAATTCCACATATGAATGAAATCATATGGTATTTCTTGATCTCTGACTGACTTATTTCACTTAGCATAATACTTTCCAGATCCATCCAAATCCTTCCAAATGGTAATGTTGCATTCTTTTTTATGGGTGAGTAATATTTCATAGTATATATGTACTGCTTTTTCTTTATCCATTCAGCAGTCAATGGACGGACATTTGCACTGTTTACATAATTTGGCTATTATAGATAATGTTGCTATAAACATTGAGGTGCATGTGTCCCTTCAAATTAGTATTTTTTTAATTCTATGGGTAAATACCTTGTAGTATAATTCCTGTATTATAAGGTAGTTGTATTTTTTAAAAAAATTGTTAATGTTTTATTCATTTTTTGAAAGAGAGATAGAGACAGCATGAACAGGGGAGGGTCAGAGAGAGAGGGAAATGCAGAATCTGAAGACAGGCTCCAGGCTCTGAGCTAGCTGCTAGCACAGAGCTCGATGCGGGGCTCGAACCCACGAACCGTGAAATCATGACCTGAGCTGAAGTCGGACACTTAACCAACTGAGCCACCCAGGCGCCCCAGGGTAGTTCTAGTTTTAACTTTTTGAGAAAACTCCATACTGTTTTCTACAGTAGCTGCACAAGTTGACATTCTACAAACAGTGCAAGAGGGTTCCCCTTTCTTCAGATCCTCACCAACACCTGTTGTTTCTTGTGTTGTAAATTTTAGCCATTTGACAGGTGTGAGGTGATCTCATGGTACTTTTGATTTGTATTTCTCTGATGATCAGTGATGGTGAGTATCTTTTCATGTCTGCTGTTCATCTGTATGTCTTCTTTGGGAAAATGTCAATTCTTGTCTTCTGGTCATTTCTTAATTGGATTATTCATCTTTTGGGTGTGGAGTTTTATAAGTTCTTTATATATTTTGGGTAATAATCCTTTATCAGATATGTCATTTGCCAATATCTTCCCCCATTCTATAGGTTGTCTTTTAGTTTTGTTCAGTCTTTTATTCCCTTGGCAAAAGCTTTTTATTTTAATGAAACAAATGAGCATAAGGGAAAAAGAGAGAGAGAGAAACCAAGAAACAGACTCCTAACTATAGAGAATAAATTGATGGTTACAAAGGAAGCGGTGATTGAGAGGGATTAAATAAATAGGTGTTGGTGATTAAAGAGTGCACTTGCTGTGATGAGCACAGAGTGTTGTCTGTAAGTGTTGAAACACTGAATTATACACCTGAAACTAATAGTATGTTGTATATTAACTAAGTGGAATTTAAATAAAAACTTTAAAAAATACTTATACATGGATATTCATTACATCATTGTTCATAATAGCCAAAAAGTGGGAAAAGAACAAATGTCCATGAAGTGAATGCATAAGAAAAATGTGATATAGAATATAATGGAATTTAAATAATTCCATTTAATTTAAATAGAATATAAATGGAATTTCAGTAATGAAATACTGAAAAATGCTACAAAATAGATGATTCTTGAAAAAATTACGCTACGTGAAAGAAACCAGTCACCAAAGACCACATATTTTATGATTCCATTTATATGAAATATCCAGAATAGGCACATCCATAGAAATGAAAAGTAGTATCAGTAATTGTCAAGGGATTGAGATAGAGAGGAATGAAAAATAATTGCTAATGAGTATAGGGGTCCTTTTTGGTATGCTGAAATTATTCTGGAATTAGAGTGACTGTTGCACAACTCTGTAAATATATTTAACAAACTTTTTCACTGTATACATGAAATAAGTGAATTGTATGGTATGTTAAATATATCTCAGCAACATTGTTTAAAACATCACATGAGGTAATATGAAATAGATATCACATATTATGTAATGAATGTTTGACTGAAAAATTATATTGACCAGTCATGGGTACAGTAGTTTATGTTCAATCTGAAAAATGTAGATATGAGATTTAATTATTAGTATGCTCATAAATGTTTAACGAACAGCTAAGAAAAAAAAACATTTATAGCATTTCTTGATTTATGTGGCTGAAGAATCCCACCATGGCCGATTTCATGGATCATTCAATATGGAATTCAGAAGAGATGATAACAGTTGACTTTTTCAAGGAAGTATGAGCAAGCTTCAGCTCACACTGGAGATTCTTCCCAGAAGATCAAGAGGGAAATGCTATCAAAGAACAAATGACAAACTGCATCTTTCTTCTAAAGGAAGAAATAAAGTATTTTTACATACATAGATGAAGAAAAAGGGAATATAGGGAGAAACCACAAAGAACAGATTTCGAAAAATAATTGCTATTCTCAAAATAAATACTGTCTTGTTTAGAGTCTTGCTTTTTGTTTTGTTAGGATCCAGATGGAAAATAAAATTAAATCCTGCATTTACTGAGTATGCTATGTTATGTATACTAACAAAGAAATAGAAATGCATTAGACATTTTTCCTATTTTTAAGGAGTTTGGATACACAAGAATACAAATGACTGAAGAGGAATTGGAGTGGGATAATGGTATGAGAAGCCTAAATGCCAAGAATAAGGAACTTCAGAACATGTGTTTTTGTTCTTATCATTTTTATTTTTCAAATTGAAGTTATATATGCACACAACTTAAGGAGTTGAGTTGTGTCATACTTGCTATAAAACCAACATTCTTTATTCTTCCCCTCCTCCTATTTTTCAATAGGTGGAATCAACCACTTTTTACCTTCATCTATGAATAATATGTTGTATTTTTTTAATTTTAATGTTTTATTTATTTTTGAGAGAGAGATAGAGACAGTGTGAGCAGGGGAGGGTCAGAGACAGAGGGAGACACAGAATTAGAAGCAGGCTCCAGGCTCTGAGCTAGCTGTCAGCGCAGAGCCCAACGCGGGGCTCAAACCCATGAACTGTGAGATCATGACCTGAGCCGAAGACGGATCTTAACCGAATGAGCCACCCAGGAGCCCCTATGAAATAATATGTTGTATTAAGTAGAATTAGGTTTGGCTGTAACAGAAGGACTCAAAATAACAGTAATTCAGACAAGATATTTTAATTTCATGTACAAGTCCAAGGATATACAACTTAAAACTGGCATGGCAGTTCTACTCTATGAATTTCTCAGAGACTCTGGCATCTTCCACCTTCAATTCTGCCCCTTCTATGATGTACCCCTAGTCCACAATGTCCAAAATTATGACACTTATGGTCCAGGAAGCAAGATAGAGAGGGAGTAAAAGAAGAGTCAAGGGGTGTGTACCAACTATCTTTTAAAGAGGATTCCCAGAAACTGTCACAAGACACATTCACTTCTATCCCATTAACTGAAGATTAGTTCCATCATCATACCTAACAAAAGGAAGTTGCAAATGCAGTTAGATTCTGGGCAGCCATATGCCCAGCTAAAGTTTTTATTACTCTGGAAGAAGGAGAAGACAGATATTGGGAAATACCTAGCAGTCTCTCTTTTATCTGTTTATATGACCACTTCTTGATTTTTCAATGCTAAGCATTGTTGATTGATTTTCCACTATGAAATGTGAGACTTTTTCTTCAATCTTTTTCAAGATCGCTTCAGTGACCCTTTTACTTACATGCATACTTCTTCTTTTTTTATTCTCCAAGTTATAGTTATTTCATAATTTTTGTTAGTTATTAATACATAATATAATATAATAATATATTAATATGTAGTATACTATACTATACTATACTATTATATATAATATATTATATTATTTCTGTGTAACATTATACTGTTTTTGGATTTGTTTTTATTTTGTGTTCATTATTAGTTTTGGAATTTTTTTTTATTTTTGCTTGCTTAATTTTATAGGTACTTACTACTAATTTATTCTGAAGCACTTCTCAGGTGCATCTCTCTCTTCTCAATACATTCATAGACATTTGGTAGTGTAAAAGTTTTATCATCTTGAAGAAAACTTTCCTGAAATTTTTTGCTCTACTCCAGTCTGAATTGGTAGGTCTTCACTTGGAACACAGCTGTTAGCCTGAGATTTCCATTTTCAATATGGTTATCTTTTTGCTATGCTTTCAGTAAGATATCATGAAATTTATTGTCGTTGGGGCGCCTGGGTGTTTTAGTCGGTTAAGCGTCCGACTTTCGCTTGTCATGATCTCGCGGTTTGTGGGTTCGGGCCCCGCGTCGGGCTCTGTGCTGACTGCCAGCTCAGAGCCTGGAGCCTGTTTCAGTCTGTGACTCCCTCTCTCTCTGACCCTCCCCTGGTCACTCTGTCTCTCTCTCTCTTAGAAATAAATAAAAAAAATCATTAAAAAAAAAAGAAATTTATTGCCATTGGGGAGACCCCATTCTGCAAGAGAGAGGAGACAGTGATAGAATATTCCTAAACATACTTTCATAAAATGAAAGATATAAAAGTATTTTCCTTTAGGACAGTATTTGCTGGATCCCAAAGGGT